GATCTTGAGCATAGTATACATACATAATCAGATCTTGAGCATAGTATACATCCATCATCTGATCTTGAGCACAGTACACATACATAATCTGATCTTCAACATAGTATACATACATGATCTGATCTTCAACTTAGTATACATAATCTGATCTTCAACATGGTATACATACATAATCTGATCTTGAGCATAGTATACATCCATAATCTGATCTTGAGCATAGTACACATACATAATCTGATCTTGAGCATAGTACACATACATAATCTGATCTTCAACATAGTACACATACATAATCTGATCTTGAGCATAGTATACATACATAATCTGATCTTGAGCATAGTATACAAACAATCTGATCTTGAGCATAGTATACATACATAATCTGATATTCAACATAGTATACATACACAATCTGATCTTGAGCACAGTACACATACATAATCTGATCTTGAGCATAGTATACATACATAATCTGATCTTGAGCATAGTACACATACATAATCTGATCTTCAACATAGTATACATACATAATCTGATCTTGAGCATAGTATACATACATAATCTGATCTTGAGCATAGTACACATACATAATCTGATCTTCAACATAGTATACATACATAATCTGATCTTGAGCACAGTATACATACATAATCTGATCTTGAGCATAGTACACATACATAATCTGATCTTCAACATAGTATACATACATAATCTGATCTTGAGCATAGGATACATGCATAATCTGATCTTGAGCATAGTATACATACATAATCTGATCTTCAACATAGTACACATACATAATCTGATCTTTAACAAAGTATACATACATAATCTGATCTTCAACATAGTACACATACATAATCTGATCTTCAACATGGTACACATACATAATCTGATCTTCAACATGGTACACATACATAATCTGATCTTCAACATAGTATACATACATAATCTGATCTTGAGCATAGTATACATACATAATCTGATCTTGAGCATAGTATACATACATAATCTGATCTTGAGCATAGTATACATCCATCATCTGATCTTGAGCACAGTACACATACATAATCTGATCTTCAACATAGTATACATACATGATCTGATCTTCAACATAGTATACATAATCTGATCTTCAACATAGTACACATACATAATCTGATCTTCAACATAGTACACATACACAATCTGATCTTGAGCATAGTATACATACATAATCTGATCTTGAGCATAGTATACATACATAATCTGACCTTGAGCATAGGATACATACATAATCTGATCTTGAGCATAGTATACATACATAATCTGACCTTGAGCATAGTATACATCCATAATCTGATCTTGAGCATAGTATACATACATAATCTGATCTTGAGCATAGTATACATACATAATCTGATCTTGAGCATAGTATACATACATAATCTGATCTTGAGCATAGTATACATACATTATCTGATCTTGAGCATAGTATACATACATAATCTGATCTTGAGCATAGTATACATGCATAATCTGATCTTGAGCATAGTATACATACATAATCTGATCTTGAGCATAGTATACATATATAATCTGATCTTCAACATAGTATACATACATAATCTGATCTTGAGCAGAGTATACATACATAATCTGATCTTGAGCATAGTATACATACATAATCTGATCTTGAGCATAGTATACATACATAATCTGATCTTGAGCATAGTATACATACATAATCTGATCTTGAGCATAGTATACATACATAATCTGATCTTGAGCATAGTATACATACATAATCTGATCTTCAACGTAGTACACATACATAATCTGATCTTCAACATAGTATACATACATAATCTGATCTTCAACATGGTACACATACATAATCTGATCTTGAGCATAGTATACATACATAATCTGATCTTCAACATAGTACACATACATAATCTGATCTTCAACATAGTACACATACATAATCTGATCTTGAGCATAGTATACATACATAATCTGATCTTGAGCATAGTATACATACATAATCTGATCTTGAGCATAGTATACATACATAATCTGATCTTGAGCATAGTATACATACATAATCTGATCTTGAGCATAGTATACATACATAATCTGATCTTGAGCATAGTATACATACATAATCTGATCTTGAGCATAGTACACATACATAATCTGATCTTGAGCATAGTATACATACATAATCTGATCTTGAGCATAGTATACATCCATAATCTGATCTTGAGCATAGTATACATACATAATCTGATCTTGAGCATAGTACACATACATAATCTGATCTTGAGCATAGTTTACATACATAATCTGATCTTGAGGATAGTATACATACATAATCTGATCTTGAGCATAGGATACATGCATAATCTGATCTTGAGCATAGTATACATACATAATCTGATCTTGAGCACAGTACACATACATAATCTGATCTTCAACATAGTATACATACATAATCTGATCTTCAACATAGTATACATACATAATCTGATCTTCAACATAGTACACATACATAATCTGATCTTCAACATAGTACACATACATAATCTGATCTTGAGCATAGTATACATACATAATCTGATCTTGAGCATAGTATACATACATAATCTGTACACTAAACAGTATCATTAACACATTATTCTTTATTTAAATAGCTTCAATATCTTCAATAACTTAAATTCAGTGTTTCGCAATTAATGGTCAATTGGGTAGAGGCAGCAAACAGAAATACAGAAATTCAACTGAGTTTTTCTGGCCTGCTTCAAGTTGGTCCCACAAGTCTGTTTTCCTTCTCGCGATACACTCGCTTGCTTCTGTCCAAGAGCGTTCGTTGGGGTTACTCTCGGATGGTAGTTCAGGATGGTGGACAAGAGACAGAAGACACATGTCAGCGGTAGAGTTGAAGACAGCAGTAGCCATGTTTATTATGGTTGGGGAATAATGTCAGAAATGGTACATAAGATGCAAATCACGTGACAGAACGCACATCGGGACCGAGTGGCCAATGTTCCCGATGTGGAGACCCGCTCTGTCACTTACACGCATTCAGAAGTCGGACGTCGATTCTTCATCGTCGACGTAGTCGTTGGTGAGGCGACGGCCTTGGCCGACGCCCCGACTTGCCGCACAATCTGTCTACTTCTGTCGATGATCTGGGCCCGTCTCCTCACCTCGACTCTGACTGGTCTCTCTGCTTGGTCTCTCTGCTTGGTCTCCCTGCTTGACCATGTGAGTCCGGCTTTATGCATAGGGACATTACGCCACGTTGTGCAAGGTCACAGACCTGTGCACATGTATATACGTAAGATCCACCGACGTGGGGAGATGTTAATTGACATTTACTGAGAATTGAGAATTAAGGGTCCTGCCCTGAGGGAGGTTTATGATAAAAGGGCTACACCGAATGATTGCTGAATACATTAAACAGACAAAGGGGATAGAATTTCGGTGCACTTAGGATATATATGGAAACAATTATGTTGTTTGAATATATGAAGTTTTACAGAAACTTATTGAAATGGTTTACTCTGTGACACTTGGATGCCCTGGATGGCAGCACCGACGTCGATTCAGACTTTTCTCAATCTGCTTGATCAGCTAAACAAAGCGATAGATGTTTGGATGATGGTGTGGCAGAGTCCTGTTCTACGGACCCGTGAAGGTCCGGATTAGAATATTGATCTTCAGTAACACATGCTTGTCGTAAGAGGCGACTAACGTGATCGGGTGGTCAGGCTCGCTGACTTGGTTGACACATGTCATCGGTTCCCAATTGCGCAGATCTATGCTCATGCTGTTGATCACTCACTCACTCACCCACTTATTAGTGAACCTTCTATCACAAGGGATAAATTTAGAAGGCTCATCCTTATTTGTTTTAAGCAGAAGCTCGTGAGCAAACTGACTGTGGCCAATAGGACATCGTCGTAAAATGACCTCATCATGGTTTGACTGACAACCATTGTAGGCATGGCCGACTGCTGGTTTACATTGCCAGCTGAGTGACTGTTTTAAATAAGATTCAGAGTGTAACTTTTGAGAGTGGATTTGAAATCGCGGGATAATTTGTGGAGAGAACGGTTCGTCAAGAGCTCAAGCATCGGCTCTGGTTGTTACCTGCTATGCCAACACGACAAGCGAAAGACGCTCATCATTTAGGTCCATTGACAGTTACATCTGTAGGTCCATCTGTCTAAAATTGATCATCGTGTAGTATAATTGGTTCGTAATTGGTTATATTCTACTTGGAATACTAATTATATAAAGGATTAGCTTAGGGTGCTGGCTGAGGACAAGGTCAATATATGGCTTCACCATAGTGATATGATGTTACGATTGTTTTAGCTGCGCAGATATGTGGTTGAATTATGATCCTAAGTAGTGGAAACAGGCTTGGCAGATTTTGAAACAGATTTTCGATGGATATGTGCAACACACACTTTAGTCATATGCTGCGGTGAAGGCCAAATAAAGCTTTGCTAAGGGGGCGTTCATACGCTTCGACATACAAACTCTCTACGTGATACGACCTATAAGCTCCAAGACAGGTGGTGGCTAGACTGAAATACTAATCCATCCTCTCGTACAATTTAGCAGCCTCCATTCGCCCTTGCACACGCAAAAAATCTAAAATTGAACAATTTTATAACTACGTCACATACAAATATAATAATTACCTTTCCTCCTCACAGATGATGAACAATGTGACAAATGTGAACTGCTCCGGCGAAGAAATTCATGCTGGACAACCTGTCATCAAGGGCCTGCCCAGAAGATGTTTCCCTCAAACATGTTTTTTTCAAATTACATTGGGATGTAGGTTTCATTAATCCTTTTCTTCCACAGACAGGTCTGGGAGAAATATTAGAAAAAAGAAGATGCCAAACGTCTTGCAATGTGGGATGAGAATCTTGCAAAATACGCTTCAGCCTTGATGAATTCACATGGAGGTACAATACTTATTCACATTACTTACGGCATTGATGTCACAGGGCGATTTCTACCTTGGCTATCTGGATGAAATGGTGGCCGAAAAGTTACATTCATTGTTAGAAAGAGGACAGCTTTATTCCAATGCATTTAAGACAGTGTCAATTGGAGAATTAGACAGTAGATACAGGGAATATGTTCTCTTTTGTGTAAATGGTAGCTCCCGATTCGTAACACAAGAACTGAACACATGTGTGGCTCTAGATGATAGGATCCTAGAAGCCCCCGCTGAGGTTGTGTCAGAGATCTTGATCTCAAAACCCCAAGCGAGGAAGATGCGTCCAAAGATACGTGGAACACACTTCTCTAAAGAAAATCGTGAAGTACAATTCAAACGGTTCAAACCACCATCATTTCTTGAGGAAGAACTGAAGAATAATCCCGAAAAAACGGCACTTTACATTTGGAAGGAACTTGGACTTCGTGAATACTTGACAGCCTTTGCCAAACTTCCAGAAGGCGGGTCATATTTTCTCGGAGTTGGAGAAACTGAAATATCATTTCAACGATACAAAACCAAGAAAATCGAGCTTGAAGGCATTCCCGAGGGTTTTGTGGATACACGGGTCATTCGTCAATTGGAGGCACTCTTTAGGAACTCGACACTGTTTTGCAACTATAGTGGGGAGTTCATTCCTTCTGTTTCCTCCTACTTTATAATCAAGGTTCACTACAACGAGTTTGGTAAACGTGTCTTGGAATGTTCCATTGCTCCAATGAATGGTATATTGTTCTATGCCACAACCGGGCCTGTATCATACAAAGTACACAATGGCCAACTCAGACAAATCGCGCCTGAAGAGTGGTATGAGGCAATGACAAGAAAACACAAGACTGGTAATGTATTATTTTGATGGAATTTTTCTTTTCTTTTTTTATCTTTTTCGTTAGATGTTCCTATTCCTCGTAACCTATAGCGTGAAGATCCGGGTTAGAAATTAGTCTTTAGCAAACCATGCTTGTCGTAAGAGGCGAGGATCTGGTTGTCAGGCTCGCTGACTCGGTTGACACATGTCATCGTATCCCAATTGCGTAGATCTATGTTCATGATGCTCATCACTGGATTGTCTGGTTCAGACTCGATTATTTACAAACCGCAACCATATAGCTGGAATATTGCTGAGTTGGGCGTTAAACAACAAACCAACCATAATCTATAATTTCCTATTGACACCATAATGATATAAAATACTTGTAATAGGCAACTATACTTGGGGCTTTGTAACGTTGATGAGTGTGGCATCGTGTCTGGACTCATTTAATCGATGTACAATCGATAATCCGAAGCAACCTTATTAATGAAATAGGGGTGTAGCCTAGTGGTTAAAGCATTTGCGGGTCCGGCTTCGATTCCTTCCTCACATGGGCACAATGTGTGAAGCCCATTTCTGGTGTCCCCCACCCTGATATTGTTGGAATATTGCTAAATGCCGCGTAAAACCATACTCACTCACCTACTCACGCTTCGATTCCTCCGCATGGGCACAATGTGTGAAGGCCATTTCTGGTGTCCCCACACCCTGATATTGTTGGAATATTGCTAAATGCCGCGTAAAACCATACTCACTCACTCACTCACTATTAAAGAAATATTGATTGACTCACTGGTGCTTGAATTCTTGGGCGAAACATGAGTATATGTGAATATGTGAAGTCGGTAATATTGAATGAAATACATATTTTATGAATTGTCAAAAATTCGTATGCGTATGCACGTTCTATCCACGTGAAAGCTTTTAATATTTAAGTTCAAATTGGTTTTACGATATCGTTTCAGATCGTCCAGAAAAGCACCACGATTGTAAGTACATCTAAAGTATCAGTATGATTGAGAATTTCCTTTGCAGGTAATATCTCCCCGGGTGATTATATAAAGGTCTCTATTTATGACTCATGTATGTCAGAAGCATGGGTTCAAATTTGACTAAGTGACTGCAGGCTGCATTTATAAAATTGAAATTGAAGTGCTAGTCAAAACACAATTTTCATTTCATGAGTACAATTTGTGTGATTGATTGATGGTGTTTGCTGTTTTAGGGAAACGAACAGAGCCTAAGATAAACCTGGACAGAAGGAAGGCAGAAGTTGCAAAAGAAGTGATTAATCGAGCTTCAGAACTCAGTGAAGAAAATGACGACGGGTCGTGTTTTGCCTTCGTAGAAGAATCTGTCCGAACTGCTCTGAAACTTTCTCCTGACGCTATTCTTCCTTTTGAAATTATTTGTGAAGCTGTCATTTTAATTCCCCGCAGGTTCGGATTTGTGTTAACCGTCCATGATGGACGTAGACCTTCTGAGGACATTCTCACTTACAACTGCCAACTTGGGCGAGACCTATCAGATGCTGTTCGACTTTACACAAAAGACAATTTCATTTTTTTTACGGAAGTTGTGTCGGTCTCCGATGTCTCCTCGAGGAAGACCTTCACGGAAAAAATAACAGAACTCGAAACGTATGCATATTCAATATGCATTCCTGACATGTTTGGAATAAGAAGGCAAGACTTTGAGAATCTTATCAGCGCCATAGGAGTATGTTCATTTCAAGGAGAGAAGGACGACCATCCAGGGTGAGTGCTACTTTGAGAATTTTGTTGCCACTAATAATTTGATCGAGCATATTAAGATTGAAATGCATTGCTTAGTTGCCTTTTTATGACATGATGTGTAGAGCACTCACACGCTTACAGACATTCCCTGAGATGGTCATAAGGCAAAATATTATTATCATTACAAATAAAACAGGACCCGTGAAGAGCCGAGTTAGAATATTGATCTTCAGTAACCCATGCTTGTCGTAAGAGGCGACTAACGGGATCGGGTGGTCAGGCTCTCTGACTTGGTTTACACATGTCATCGGTTCCCAATTGCGCAGATCGATGCTCATGCTGTTGAATACTGAATTGTCTGGTCCAGACTCGATTATTTACAGACTGCTGCCATATTGCTGGAATATTGCTGAGTGTGGCATAAACTAAACACACTCACTCACTCACAAATAAAACAGAGGGTGAGATGTTTGCATTTGACGTAAAAAGATAATTGCACAAAGAATATATGTAATTTTTTTAGACAACCACTGAAGATTAAATTTGTAATCAATCAAAAGTGCTTCGTTGTATGCAGGAAGACATTCCTGACAGCCACGATATATATTTTGTGAGAATGACACTGATATCTTCAAAGCTTCATTTTAAAAGTATGTTTAGTTCTAGACGGATACACCCTTTGATACAGACTTGACAACGTGAACTAACACAAATAACAGACAGATGGACCTTGATGCAGACTCAAATGTAATGTCAACATATTAAGTAGTAGATATGTCTTTCCATTTCGTATATGATCTGTAACTATTCTATATGTTGCAGAGACGGAATAGAGAAACTTATCAGCGCATTAACACAATGCAACGACCTTTCCAACACAGTGAGCAAAAAATTGATGGAAATTGCAGCAGATGTAGATGAACTTGAACAAAACAAGCGACTCACGAAAGTAATTTGTGCAGGCACGGGACTCATTGGAGCTGCTCTGTCAATATCCGGTTTCTTGCTTGGCCCCATCGGAATGCCCCTTGCACTAGTGGGTGTTGCTGTCGGTGTTGGAGGGGGTGTAGGTGAAGTAACAGTGTCACTTGTTGTGGGAGGAAAGACGAAGGACAAGATCCAAGAAGCCAAAAGATTTTTATTGAAATTCGAGTATGTTTGCAAAAGCCTTCGAGATGAAATGAACGTCCAAGAGAAGGTTGTCCTGGCATCAGTGTTGACTGTAGCACATCGCACAGTGCTGCTGACTGTTTTCAATGTTATGGACGACATCGTTGTAAATGGACTTAAGATATCAAAGTTTGTAGGAGTGTTCCTGTCCGCCCTTCTGGTACCTTTAGACGTGTACAAGTTGATTTCAAATGTTGTGGAGTTAATTGAAAGAAGACCATCTGCTGTGGCTGCGCAACTCCGTTCGAAGGCTAATGAAATGAAAGATCTTTCGAAAGTTTTTGATAAGAAAATACCAGATCTTGTGGCCATCCTACATTCGGAGAGATCTGGACTCGTGAGAGTAACTTTGAATCCTCCAGGTACCACTGCACACATCATGCCAGACCTGAGTGGATAACAGTGAGTAAACAAGTCAGCCACAGAGGGATCTTTGACTGACTGTCTGTATTTATGCCTACCCCAACTGCGAAAACGTTGCTATGGCGAACTCTAATGAAGCTATTTCATCAGAATTATATACAATAATTTGGTTGACGAAGGCATTGATGATACGTGTGTCGTCACTCAAGTGAGACTGCATTGAAACACTGCGACGTGATTCACGTGTAAGTTTCCTTTTCATTACGTTAGCTTGACTGTATTGGGGAGTTTCTGTTGGTCTTTTGTGTGTGTTTTTCCCCTTCACTTTCATGTTACTGAAGTTAACCAACATTATACGACAAATATATATGTCTTCTTTGATTGCATGTGTTTTAGTATGCACTCACTCTGAATGACTTATTACCTTAATAATGTAATAACATAACGGAGATTACAAACATTATGTGTTTCTATAATTACGAGTCATCTCAGTGATGTTTTGCAAATGAGTCAATCTTGTTTCCCGACTTAATCATGTATGTCACGGTTTGAACTAGCATGAAAACGGCATACCGCCCTGGAGAAGAGTGCATTGATGATTCTGTGGTTAATTTTACTTCATTCAACGTTGCAATCCCATCATATTTCTTAATATCCTTTTGTAGATATATTCCTAATGTGTTTAAACTGTGCAAACCGAGTTACATCACAATATTATGCAATGCATCTCGGTATTACAAATCAGCCATAACGCTTATAAACTTGTAGAAACAGTTAATCCTGCTTGATGCACGCTTTAATCATGCTCGACATGATATGAAATGGCATGAAAACAGATATGCACGAGAAAAGCATGCAATATTGACATGGCGCGACGTGATTCACGTGTAAGTTTCTTTTTCATTATGTTAGCTTGATTGTATTGGGGATTTTCTGTTGGTCTTTTGTGTGTGTCTTCCCCCTTCACTTTCATGTTATTGAAGTTAGCCAACATTATACGACAAATATATATGTCTTCTTTGATTGCATGTGTTTTAGTATGCACTCACTCTGAATGACTTATTACCTTAATAATTGTTACTACATAACGGAGATTACAAACATTATGTGTTTCTGTAATTACGAGTCATCTCAGTGATGTTTTGCAAATGAGTAAATCTTGTTTCCCGACTTAATCATGTATGTCACGGTTTGAATTAGCATGAAAACGGCATACCGCCCTGGAGAAGAGTGCATTGATGATTCTGTGGTTAATTTTACTTCATTCAACGTTGCAATCCTATCATATTTCTTAATATCCTTTTGTAGATATTTTCCTAATGTGTTTAAACTGTGCAAACCGAGTTACATCACAATATTATGCAATGCATCTCGGTATTCAAATCAGCCATAACGCTTATAAACTTGTAGAAACAGTTAATCCTGCTTGATGCACGCTTTAATCATGCTCGACATGATATGAAATGGCATGAAAACAGATATGCACGAGAAAAGCATGCGATATTGACATGGCGCGACGTGATTCACGTGTAAGTTTCTTTTTCATTATGTTAGCTTGATTGTATTGGGGATTCTCTGTTAGTATTTTGTGTGTGTTTTTCCCCTTCACTTTCATGTTATGGATTTTCTGTTGGTCTTTTGTGTGTGTCTTCCCCCTTCACTTTCATGTTATTGAAGTTAGCCAACATTATACGACAAATATATATGTCTTCTTTGATTGCATGTGTTTTAGTATGCACTCACTCTGAATGACTTATTACCTTAATAATGTTACTACATAACGGAGATTACAAACATTATGTGTTTCTGTAATTACGAGTCATCTCAGTGATGTTTTGCAAATGAGTCAATCTTGTTTCCCGACTTAATCATGTATGTCACGGTTTGAACTAGCATGAAAACGGCATACCGCCCTGGAGAAGAGTGCATTGATGATTCTGTGGTTAATTTTACTTCATTCAACGTTGCAATCCCATCATATTTCTTAATATCCTTTTGTAGTTATATTCCTAATGTGTTTAGAACTGTAGCAAACCGAGTTACATCACAATATTATGCAATGCATCTCGGTATTACAAATCAGCCATAACGCTTATAAACTTGTAAAACAGTTAATCCTGCTTGATGCACGCTTTAATCATGCTCGACATGATATGAAATGGCATGAAAACAGATGCATATGCACGAGAAAAGCATGCGATATTGACATGGCGCGACGTGATTCAATGTAAGTTTTCTTTTCATTATGTTAGCTTGATTGTATTAGATCTCTGTTGGTCTTTTGTGTGTGTTTTTCCCCTTCACTTTCATGTTATGGATTTTCTGTTGGTCTTTTGTGTGTGTCTTCCCCCTTCACTTTCATGTTATTGAAGTTAGCCAACATTATACGACAAATATATATGTCTTCTTTGATTGCATGTGTTTTAGTATGCACTCACTCTGAATGACTTATTACCTTAATAATTGTTACTACATAACGGAGATTACAAACATTATGTGTTTCTGTAATTACGAGTCATCTCAGTGATGTTTTGCAAATGAGTAAATCTTGTTTCCCGACTTAATCATGTATGTCACGGTTTGAACTAGCATGAAAACGGCATACCGCCCTGGAGAAGAGTGCATTGATGATTCTGTGGTTAATTTTACTTCATTCAACGTTGCAATCCTATCATATTTCTTAATATCCTTTTGTAGATATTTTCCTAATGTGTTTAACTGTGCAAACCGAGTTACATCACAATATTATGCAATGCATCTCGGTATTCAAATCAGCCATAACGCTTATAAACTTGTAGAAACAGTTAATCCTGCTTGATGCACGCTTTAATCATGCTCGACATGATATGAAATGGCATGAAAACAGATATGCACGAGAAAAGCATGCGATATTGACATGGCGCGACGTGATTCACGTGTAAGTTTCTTTTTCATTATGTTAGCTTGATTGTATTGGGGATTTTCTGTTGGTCTTTTGTGTGTGTTTTTCCCCTTCACTTTCATGTTATGGATTTTCTGTTGGTCTTTTGTGTGTGTCTTCCCCCTTCACTTTCATGTTATTGAAGTTAGCCAACATTATACGACAAATATATATGTCTTCTTTGATTGCATGTGTTTTAGTATGCACTCACTCTGAATGACTTATTACCTTAATAATGTTACTACATAACGGAGATTACAAACATTATGTGTTTCTGTAATTACGAGTCATCTCAGTGATGTTTTGCAAATGAGTCAATCTTGTTTCCCGACTTAATCATGTATGTCACGGTTTGAACTAGCATGAAAACGGCATACCGCCCTGGAGAAGAGTGCATTGATGATTCTGTGGTTAATTTTACTTCATTCAACGTTGCAATCCCATCATATTTCTTAATATCCTTTTGTAGATATATTCCTAATGTGTTTAAACTGTGCAAACCGAGTTACATCACAATATTATGCAATGCATCTCGGTATTACAAATCAGCCATAACGCTTATAAACTTGTAGAAACAGTTAATCCTGCTTGATGCACGTTTTAATCATGCTCGACATGATATGAAATGGCATGAAAACAGATATGCACGAGAAAAGCATGCGATATTGACATGGCGCGACGTGATTCACGTGTAAGTTTCTTTTTCATTATGTTAGCTTGATTGTATTGGGGGATCTCTGTTGGTCTTTTGTGTGTGTTTTTCCCCTTCACTTTCATGTTATGGATTTTCTGTTGGTCTTTTGTGTGTGTCTTCCCCCTTCACTTTCATGTTATTGAAGTTAGCCAACATTATACGACAAATATATATGTCTTCTTTGATTGCATGTGTTTTAGTATGCACTCACTCTGAATGACTTATTACCTTAATAATGTTACTACATAACGGAGATTACAAACATTATGTGTTTCTGTAATTACGAGTCATCTCAGTGATGTTTTGCAAATGAGTAAATCTTGTTTCCCGACTTAATCATGTATGTCACGGTTTGAATTAGCATGAAAACGGCATACCGCCCTGGAGAAGAGTGCATTGATGATTCTGTGGTTAATTTTTACTTCATTCAACGTTGCAATCCTATCATATTTCTTAATATCCTTTTGTAGATATTTTCCTAATGTGTTTAACTTTGCAAACCGAGTTACATCACAATATTATGCAATGCATCTCGGTATTCAAATCAGCCATAACGCTTATAAACTTGTAGAAACAGTTAATCCTGCTTGATGCACGCTTTAATCATGCTCGACATGATATGAAATGGCATGAAAACAGATATGCACGAGAAAAGCATGCGATATTGACATGGCGCGACGTGATTCACGTGTAAGTTTCTTTTTCATTATGTTAGCTTGATTGTATTGGGGATTCTCTGTTAGTATTTTGTGTGTGTTTTTCCCCTTCACTTTCATGTTATGGATTTTCTGTTGGTCTTTTGTGTGTGTCTTCCCCCTTCACTTTCATGTTATTGAAGTTAGCCAACATTATACGACAAATATATATGTCTTCTTTGATTGTATGTGTGTTTTAGTATGCACTCACTCTGGAATGACTTATTACCTTAATAATTGTTACTACATAACGGAGATTACAAACATTATGTGTTTCTGTAATTACGAGTCATCTCAGTGATGTTTTGCAAATGAGTAAATCTTGTTTCCCGACTTAATCATGTATGTCACGGTTTTGAACTAGCATGAAAACGGCATACCGCCCTGGAGAAGAGTGCATTGATGATTCTGTGGTTAATTTTACTTCATTCAACGTTGCAATCCCATCATATTTCTTAATATCCTTTTGTAGATATATTCCTAATGTGTTTAAACTGTGCAAACCGAGTTACATCACAATATTATGCAATGCATCTCGGTATTACAAATCAGCCATAACGCTTATAAACTTGTAGAAACAGTTAATCCTGCTTGATGCACGCTTTAATCATGCTCGAAATGATATGAAATGGCATGAAAACAGATATGCACGAGAAAAGCATGCGATATTGACATGGCGCGACGTGATTCACGTGTAAGTTTCTTTTTCATTATGTTAGCTTGATTGTATTGGGGATTCTCTGTTAGTACTTTGTGTGTGTTTTTCCCCTTCACTTTCATGTTATGGATTTTCTGTTGGTCTTTTGTGTGTGTCTTCCCCCTTCACTTTCATGTTATTGAAGTTAGCCAACATTATACGACAAATATATATGTCTTCTTTGATTGCATGTGTTTTAGTATGCACTCACTCTGAATG